CAATCCAAAAATCATTTCGTGCTTGCAGAAACCTATAGAGAATGCGGAAAACCCATGTTTTGTCTTACTTTTTTTGATAACTGCAATATCCTGATTCCTTAACAATGTCAATTGTACTCTTTTTTAATGTGCTTGTTTTATAGGGAAGCAACTATTTATTTGTTTTCTTGGTAAAATGCAGTATAATCTTGCATTCTGATTTTTTGGCTCCCTAAAAAGTTTGAGAAAGTTATTCAGTTAATTGCCTGAGTAATTTTTAAACTTTGAATTGAAAGGCTTTGTTGGCCAAAAAAGAATTGAAAGGCTTTGACTTTAGGTGTTGAGATTATAATTTTCGAAAATTTATTTCAATTTTTATCAAGCAATGAGACTGTAAATTAGATTGTCTGAAATTTTGTTCCACAAAGCTTTCTACTTAATCAGTGACTCTACCCTTTTAAGACTTTAGCAGTATGTGAACCTGATGATCTAGCCAGGTTTAGTGATCATGTCGGATTTTCCAATCAACTACAGAATGCCACGAATCAATTACTAGCAGTCCTTCCATAATGTTTAGTGTGGCTGGTCTCTGCCAAAAAGGGTAATATGGTTGGTGACTTCATGGGCTTGGTTCTGGTGATCCCAATGAATAAAGATGCTAGCATTCCTAAGACACCGGTAATCATGTAGAGAGCTATATGTATTATTACTGTTTTTTTTGGCCAACACAGAGAGCTATAAGTATTAAAAAAACCTATAAATATCTGATTTTTTTTCTTGGCCAGCATATAAATGTCCGATTGACTTGAAATTTTAACATGGATATCTAGATGGAAGGATTGTTTAATTTCATGGTTGATTTTGTAAAATATAGATCACATACAAAAAGTTATGCATGGTTTAAAGAATAGCTAGTTTAACACTGCTGCAATTTGAGCATTTTTACCCATGTACCCACAAATCACTTAGAATATCTGTAGTTTCTTCTTTTCCACTGGAAATTTTACCTGCTAGTTAACTTTTGAGTATCTGATCATTTACCAATGCCCAAATAATTTACATGGCTATCGTTGGATCATTTCCATTCAACGCTTTTCTTTCAGGAGTTCTTTTTGTATAGGATCAGCAGTGCTTGCAAGTAATTAAGCAGAGCATAGCTTTTAATCCTTTGTGATTTTTAAAGGAACCCTAAACTTTAGCCCTCAAACTTTCATGGTTTCAGCAATCAAGCCCCTAAATAATTTTTTAAAGTCAAATAAGCACATTTGGTTTCTAAATTGACCATTTAAGGCCAAATAAAATTGTTCTTTTGTACATTTGAATACTCTTTGGCCTTTGCCATCAATTGATCTAGAAGCTAAAGCGGCTTAAGTGACTCAAGAAAATATTTAGGGGCATAATTGTCAAATCATAAAAGTTCAAGAGTTGTGCCTTAAGGAAGATCTTGGTGGTTAAGAACTTGAAGATTTCAAATTTAAATTTCAGGATAGGTGAAAGGGTTTTAGGAAGGGAATAGTTATCATTTCTTATATAGCTTATCATTCAATGTATAAAAAATAAAAGTTCAAGAGGTAAAGCTTGGGGTTGTACCATTTGAACACAAGTCTTAGACTGATTAATATCTTTTATGCCAGTTTGTCTCCGCATTCAATTGAACAAAGGAAACAAGGAATTTAAGGTGACCCTGTTCTTATATTCTTTTGTTGCATATGCTTTATTGGCTACTGCTGGTTCTTGTTTTCTCTTCACTTACCTTTATATGTAAACTAATGATCTTGAGCATATCTGAGCCGTCCCACTTTCCAATTTCCCCTCTTTCTCTTAAAATTTAGATGCGAATCAAAAAGTCTGGATAATCAGAAGCTAATCATCAGTCAACTGCTTAAGTTCATGATTTCCACTTGTCCTTAGCTGATATTTTGACTAACTAGTTGCAGGATTTATCACCAGAGCAGGCGTTTGCGGATTTTGTTTTCTGCAGTTCGGTGCTTTATTTGGTGGTCATGAACTTCTTTGGATAAGTTTCTATTCTCAACAGTTTCTGCCTTATATGACTGCTTGACTGTAATTGTTTTTGTTAGTGAAAATGAATGGCAGTTTTATTATGTTTGGGACTTGGAATGTCACTTTGGAACTGTAGTTAGTTTCTACATAATTCCTTAACAAAATTCTAATTAAGAAAAAATATTTT